CTATGAGGTGGACTGATTCAGTGACTGGGGTAATCAGGATGGGTGTATCAGAGGCAATGAGATTGGCACAGGATAGAGCACAGTTTAGGGCTGTTGTACATAGGGTCGCTATGAGTTGCAAAGACTCGACGGCACATAACAAGTGTCCAAGCTCCCCAGGTACCTCTGAGGTGACACTCATGGCTGGCGCTTTCTCCTCAGTCTTTGAGGGAGGAATTCCAGGTGAATCCACCTCTCACTTCACTTTTCCCTAGCCCTGTCCTTGCTTCCCATCCTTGTACACAAAATCTCATCTCTGTTTCTAGGGAACTCAAATCTCGCTCATTGCCATCAAGTCAGAATTAACTCATAGCTTCAGTGGGTTTTTGAAGACCAAAAATTGCACGGGAGTGGATTGTTCATCTTTCTCCCATAGAGTTGCTGGTGGATTCGAATTGCTAGAGAGCACTGGCTTTGAGTTAGCAACTCCACTCCCTACAGACTACACCACCAGAGCTCTCTTGGTATAAAAATGTGCAAGGTGGTTTGAATGATCTTCTGGTCTATACCCTTGGTCAAATGCTATCCTTTTGACCTTGTATGATTGGCTATTCTAAGGAATGAGTGCCTCCCTGGTGTTACTGTTCACCTTATAGATATGACTTGATTTTTTTCAAACCGAAGAATGACAACAATCCAAGTACTAAAAACAAAACCATTTCTCCTCCCCTCCCCTATGACTCTTCAAAGTATATAAACAAAAACAAATGAGTAGCATCATACTCCTAATTTTCAAACGCAGTACAGCCTCTCTGTTGAGCGAACGGTCTGAAACAATGGCTCTGAACCAGACATTTACCTTGGAGTTGCTGGGCTGAATTTTTCTTCTCTTTCTATGTCCTTTCTTTGCACCAGTGGATTTTCAATGACCACTAAGATAGAGGAGAAGCAAGATACTGTTAAAAACCTGTTAACAGGATCAACCCTAAGCACATACACTCTCTGTCCTTGGTGATGTCACCACCATCTCTCTGAGTGTTGTTACGGACATTTTCTGTCATACAGGGAAACAGAATCCTGGAGTCTAATCATCAGTATGATCTTGGAGGACATATTTAAGCTTTTGTGTTCAAGTTACAATGGACAACCCACATTCCCATTGTTTTGTTAATTAGCTACACTGAGCATCTGATTTGGACACAACGTGCCTCCTACATAACACTGACTGACTGCTATCCAGTTATCAGCCACCCTCTCACAGCATTGCAGCTCTGACAGTCTGTTGTCTGTAGAGAGCTGTGCTGCAAACCCAAAGGCCAAGCTTCTCTGGTGGTTCAAATCTACAAGGAGCTCTGCATAAGAAAGGTGGGTAATCTACTCCCATGCAATTTAGAGTTCAGAAACCCAATGGAGCATCAACTGAGTCAGTTCTGATTGATGACAGTGAGTTCTTTGAGTTCTGAAAGAAAGTGATTGGAAGAGAAAGAATGAGAAACCCAAGGTTACTAACTCTGGCTCCACTGATTACCAGCATTGAGAGCTTAACATTTTAGGATTTCTGTTTCCATGTGGCCCAAGTAAGGACCCTGGTAGTATTGTGGGTTAAGTGTTGGGTTGCTAACTGTGGTTTGAACCTCCAGCAGTTTTGCAGGAGAAAGATGAGGCAATCTGCTCCTGCATAGATTTACACCCTTGGGAACCTTCTGGGCAGTTCTACTCTGTCCCACAGGGAAACTGGGAGGTGGAATCACTCAACAGCAGGTGTTTAGTTTAGGTTTAGGATGGCCTGGCTCAGAGCGTCTTCTGCTGTAATTTCCCACATAACCATTCCACAATTGTCCCTCTGTTATGACTGAGTATACTGAAGCTCCAAGAAGGGAGCTTGAAATAGATTTACAGGTTCAGTAACATTATGGAAAGTTGCCATAAAATGGAATCAACTCAATGGCAAAGGGATTGACTTTCAGATTTTGTTGTTTCTATACATTTGAAGCACTTGGACAGTGATGTGCCAAAAGTGGGAATGGTTACCCATGGTGGACAGTATTTACTGGAGCTTCCTGACTAAAACAAGCCTAGAAGCTGGAGTGGCATCCACTTCCGAAATGGCTTGCCTTGGGAAACTCTATGTATGAACAGTGCTCAGGCCGTTAGTTCATAGGGTCGCTATGAGTCGTCTACAACTCGACGGCACCTATCAACAAAAACAACATACATTTGAAGCAATAATGTAGAATATCTTGAATCACACTCTTTTTTTTTTTTTTTTAAATCATACTCTTAAGTTAACCTTTGGCTTTTTTTCCCTTTTCTGATATGGTTCTTACGAGTTTTGACCTGTGTTTTAACTTCATGTTAACTCCATAAACATATATTACTATAGCAGAAGAAGATGAAGAATCAAGGCCCAGTTACCACACCTGCCAAACCAGAAGCTTTTGGAAAGCAAACTGATGTATCCTTCCTTGACCCACGAGATGACATTTACAAAGTGGGCTGGGGAATCCCGCAAGGTGAAGCTCAATGTGTATCTTTCTGATCCAATATCTAAAAGAAAATCAAAGCTTTTATTTTTCAAATGAAATGCACTGTTTCAACTTCCAGTAAAGCTGATGCTGAGAGTGCTAGAGATATCTGCCTGAATGGTATACGTTTATGAATTTCCAAACGAGGTGCAAGCAAGCTGCTAACATAGCAGCCTCATCTTACAATCCATCTCTTTATTCCCATCCTCTCAGTTATAATCAGTGGATACAGAGGGAAACTGTCCGTAGGCTTGACCCAGCTAGCTGTAAGCTTCAACTCACTTCAGTTTAAATTGAACTCACAATTCGGGTTTCAGTGGCTTATTTAAAACAAACTGTAAGCAAATAACCACCACTAGAGGTCAGCAAAGATTCTTTTTTTCCAAATAGAAATGTTTTTACTAACGAAATAACAAACTTTTGCCCTCCTTGCGGGAGAAGGATGGCAATCTCTTCCCCTGTGATTAACTGCCTCTGAAAAGCCTCTGGATGGTCACCTATGGGTCGGTTCCAACTTTACAGTACACAACAACACAACAACTTTCCTTTTCTACTGACAACATGCTATAAGGTCTGGTTTCACTCCTGTCTTTTCAGGGGCCCTTTTCTCCTCTTCCCTCTTCTTTCTTCTGTTTTAGTACCTTAATGAACCTTTTTAACTTCTTTTGCTGAAGCACCACTGTGTGTGTGTCTGTTCACTTAAGTACAGTCACCTCAACTCACTCTGAGTGGTGAAGAGATAAAGAGAATTCTGGTTTTAGGACATTTCATGTTATAGGTACCACAGAGATCCACACTCTTCAAATTGGTGAGTCAGAAGTGACTGATTTTGGTGAACTTTTCTTTCCTGTTACCTCCCAGGTAGCAAGCATGGCTTGCTCTTCTGCATTGCTACCTCAGCAGGCCCTGGGCCTGACACCTGAAGAGGGGGGTTCACTTAGAGACTCCCGAACTAACCTCTATTCTCTGTGCTTGGCACAGATGAGCCCCTCCTTTTTCCTTAGCAACCCGGTTATCACTATTTCACTTGGCACCCATTCAAAACTTCCTGTGTGGCACTCACAACAAGATTGTAAGTAAATTTCTATTTTTGTTAATGCTGCTAGCAATGTGATGAAGTGAGGTAAGATTTGCCAAAGTAGAAAGTTTTGTCTAAAAGTTCCTAAAATTAATTCTGTGGATGGCTGGTTGACATGGGGTTGAGTTGGGTTAGGGCTTTTGGCAGCTAGAAAGGGGTGGTGACTCCTCTGGCTTCTCATCCTGCCTGGTGGTAGCAACCCCTGTAGCCTGGAGTTGCACTGATAGCAGTGACCAATGGGCAAGATGTGGCAGCTCAAAGGGAGGGATGTGTTTTAACCCAAACAAGCCAGGGAATGTTACCAAACTTCTCTTGACCCACTCTAGATTTTTAGTTAAGGTATGGGTGGGGATCACTTCCAGGTTTTTCTTTTTTCATCTAAGTTTTATCTACCTTGCAACAGTCTAGGGTTCATGATTTTTAAAGATGCTAGTGGGATAGGGAGAGAGATGTGGTACAGAGATAGAATTAAGATAAGGAAAACTCCACACCTATGTTTACTGAGGCTTTGTTCACAATAGCAAAGAGCTGGAAACAACTCAATTGCCTATCAACAAATGAATGGATAGAGAAGCTGTGGTATATTCACACAATGGAATACTATGCAGCATTGTAAAACAAGGAACTCATGAAATACTATGATAAGTGGATGACCCTAGAGGACATTATGCTCAGTGAAATATCTCAGTCACAAAAGGACAAATATTGCATAGGGCCACTATTGTAAAACAGGACTGACACTGGGATTGAGGGAAGACAGATAAGAAGGGGAGGAACGCTCTATACTGCATTGAAACAGATGAGGGAGTGAACTGTTTAAAAGGGATATACGATTAGGTATTATTGTCATGACAGAAGTCCAGAATGAAGGCTGCACAGTGCAGTGGACTTGGGGGGAGGGATTGCATAACAATGAAAGAGTTTTTCTTTTACTCATCAAGGAGAAAAGTGAATAGGGAGTGGGCAGGGAGAAAAGTGCAACTATGAATGACTGGAAACCCTAAATCTCTGTAAACTTTCATTAAAATTAATAAACAAATGATAAGGAAAACGCTTAATTTGGAGGATGAAGGGAACAAGATATATGTTCATGTCCAATAGGTGTTGTAATAGAGTGAGGATGTTGTTGTTGTTGTTATGTGCCGTCGAGTCGCTTGCAACTCATAGCGACCCTAGGTACAACAGCCCTAAACGCTGCTCTATCCTGTGCCAATCGCAGTGCCTCTGACATACCCATCCTGATTACCCCAGTCACTGAATCAATCCACCTCATGTAGAATCTTCCCCTTCTGTGCTGTCCCTCCACCCTCCCAAGCATCATGTCCCTCTCCAAGGACTGGTCCCTCCTTACAACATGTCCAAAGTATGTCAGACGAAACCTCAGAATCCGTGCCTCCAAGGAATAGCCTGTTTTAACCCTCTCTAGGATGAATCTGTTTGTTTTCTTGGCAGTCCATAGTACATTCAATATGCTTCTCCAGCACCACAGCTCAAAGGCATCAATTCTCCTTCTATCCTCCCTAGTCATTGTCCAAATCTCTGATGCATAACAAGTGATTGCAAAGACCATGGCCTGTATCAGACA